AAAAGATCCCTATTCTGCACAGTCCTCCTTCCAGACCAACTCATTGTTCTGCCGGCGCACTTACCCTGTCCGGTTTTCCAGAATTAGCGACAGATAAGCCAGTAGCAGCATAGGCTCCGATATACGCACCTGCTCATCTTCACAGACAAAATTCTTCGCCAGTCTCAGGTCTAAGTACACATGGAACCAGGACCGTCACAGTGACTGCCCTTGAAAGCCCGATCCTTAGGCGCTCAGCTGTTAGAATTTACGAGCCTCCTTCATCTGCAGCGGTCTACGCTGCCATTCCAGTAGAGGCAGCAGATATATATATAGCACTTAAAACAGCAGCGGCACCAGCAGCACCGGATATACGAAGACCCACCATGTCAGAAGTGACACAGAACGCACCTTCAGATAAAACGAAAATCGAAATTGGTATAGCAGAAGCGCAAGAGACGCGCGCAGGCGCCTTGGCTCACCGTCCAGGGGAAATCGATGCTGCAGCCTTGCTCACTGCTAGAGGTGAGAGGTCAAAGTTACTTACTGGCACTAAAACAGCGGAGCGTGGGATCCCATCAAAGTAGCCATGGCCTCACTGGTGGATGACGCGAAGCCACAAATTCGCAGATTTCACAGCCGCGAAGTGGTCATGGACATACATTATCATCAGTCGCTCAAATTGCACTCTCTGCAAAGGGGTATCCTATGCCCAGGCACCACAGCTGTACCAGTTGTCAATGGGAAGGGCAAGGCATGTGCAGCCTCTGCAAGTCCCAACAGCCTTACCATTGAGGAAACGAAATCAACTGCAGTAGCAACAACAGAAGCGACTCTCACAGCACAAGCTACGACACCCGTCATGTCAGAGGAAGACAACGGAAGCCCAGAACTTGTAGCAAAAATATAATTTGCAGTGACACCAGCAGATGCATCTGAAGCCCCTGCAGGTGCAACAGAAGCAGAAGTTGCGTTGCCGATGGGGGGCAGTACAGGGTCAAGGAATACGGCAGCACCCCCTGGAGTATCAACAGAATCTTTTGAGAGTATCCACCCGGCCACAGCGCATATCTGTGCCTTTGCAGTTGTTCGTAAGAAACCTGCTTTTCCTGGTGCAGCGGCAAAAACGGCGGGGGCCTACTGAGAGGCCCTGAAGAAGAACCCCTTTAAAAGTCTACATGGGGCCCCTATAACGACCTTAGGAGTGGAACCAGAAGGAAGTAGTCATGGGGTCCACAGAAAAGGGCTTCTTCATCCAGGCCCCATAAGATTGTTGCGGGGCAGTCAGAGGCCTCTACTCACGTGCATCTTGAGGTTCATAGGAGAGCTACGGGGGACCGTAGGATTCCTAGACTTACAAGTTCTCACTCCACCACGAGTCATGACACAAGGTCCTCGAAGAGTGAAGGCGCTGCTTCTGCTCCACTTGCAATGCGGATCTTGCTGTATTTTTGCGTACGGCTAAATAAAAGCTGTATATTGGAAGTATTTGAGTGTTTGGGAACCTTAGTCATAGGGAGCTCAGGAGCCTTGGTTCTTGATCTACAGCATCTACATGACTGGCGTGAGGTGTCACAGGCTCTCTTTACTTGGCTACGGAAAGGATACAGGCAACACACCCCGTGTAGGGCCCCTTCGTAGTGAGATGTCTCGCGTCATGGCAGCTGCAACACAGAGGCACAGACCTCCGCTGGGATATCTTCTCTGCAATAAATCAAATGCCAACCCCGTCCACAAGAGAAGCCTACATCGATGTGTGCTACAAGGTTAGCCTTTATCACAAAATCCAAGGGGTATACAAAATCCAAGGGTATCAGGGGCACTGGTAAAAAGCAGCATGCAGACAGACACCAATGTTTTTGTCATTTGTGTTATTGTGCTATCGCCGCCGTTGTTGCTGCTGCGTTGCTGTGCCGAAGGGCCCCAAGACCCACAAGGAGGTCCCCGGGAGGACTGTCTGTTCTGCATATCTCTCACGCATCAAGGGCCTTAAGCTGACTCACGATGCTAGTGAGGGAGGTATTGCAATAGTTGTTGATTGATGCAGCAGCGGAGGAAGAATGGCAGTACGTGCAATTTAGTGGCACGTCAAGACACCTTTCTCTGCAGCTACAGCATGAGAAATTGGGCACCTCCTATGTGAAGGGGCCTCTAATTGTTTGCAGCCGCGCCTCTAATCGCACCTGGCTTCCCTTAATTTCTAAGGGAAATCCGATACTTGATTTTTTCTGTCGTAAAAGTAGCGGCAGCGCCTGCTGCTGTAGCATACAGGCAAACCTAAAATAGTGATCTCTACGCCACTGGGGCCTCAGTTAGGCTACAGGCATAGTAAACCTCGCAACGGTTGCAGTTTTCGAGAAAAAGAGGGATATGGGGCATCGCGCGTAGGGCCCTGGTAAGACGCAGCGCACGAGGAACAGGAAAAAGCCAAAGCTCAGATAGCCCTCCGCATCAATGCCACGCAGTTAACAAAAAGAGGTGGAGGTGGTAGTATGCATGAGTCAAGTCGGCGTACAGGGCACAGGTGCATTGCACCCGGCCTTCAAAGCCCCATAATTCAAAGTTTAGGCACTGGTGCGGAAGCAGGGGAGGCAGCATGATGACCACCATTGACAAAGCAAGGAAGCGGAACTTGGCTGTAAAAAGGAGAGAATGACATGCCTTAGGAGGCCATCCTATTCATTGTATTGAAATTCCGAGTGGTTTGTACACACAGCTAGGGGTTCACCCTCCCTGATGGAACAAGAGAAGGACTGCGGTTACTGCGATGGGGCAATAGGCGCATGATCTTTGTAAGGACGGCAAAACCCATAAGTGACAGGGAAGCGCGATTCGTTTGAAGCTTCGTGGGGGCGTCACGTGGGCCCATCAAGGCCACAGAGGCCTTCTCCAGGGAGCGTTTGCTGAGCCGGTGTCACTTGGCGGCTGCAGCTCTTGCTGATTTCGACAGTCTTTTTGTCTGGGATAGTTGCACAACGCATTAACGTGAGCTGTACAGACTGCTGTTGCTGCTGCTGCCGGCGTCCGGACCGTGAGGGGGTACGTGCCAGAGGTGAGACAAAGGCGTGGCAGAAGATAATGTCTTTTTTTAGTTCTGGAAGGCCCCAGAGGGCACTGCAGCAGAACAGGCCCATTAAGGTTGCAGAACAAAGCAAGGAAACTGCCAGCAAAAACGCAGAGGCAGCATAGCCACTTGGGGGAGAAAGCCAATCCACGAGGGGCCCCAAGTGCCTTGGGAGCCTACCTTGCATTAGCGACCCCCCGTCCTTGCTGATGCAGAACAGTGCGCAGGATGCAGCGAAGCAGCACCCGATCCTAAACCCGTGCAGCATCAGCTCCTGCGGCAGCAACGCAGCAGAGGGAGGGGGCCTAACTGCTCTACGAAAATGCAGCGCAAAGGGTATCTACGTAGAGCGGAGACTCCCTAAAAATAGACCCTTGTGTCTATGGGAGCAGGGAATGCACCAAAAGCTCCTTTTACTGCTTACAGTGCGTGTAAGGGCTCGTTGAAGTCCGCTTAATTTTGATTAAGCAGCAGAAGCCCACCCCGAGGCAAGCAGCAGCTACGCTGGGCATGACATAGGCTTGCAGGATACTCAGAGAAGTAGAGGGCCCAGCCCTTGACAGACTCTAAAACACGGGGGGAGCAAAGACCGACGCCCCCAAAGCTGTAAGGGGCCCCCAGGGCACAATGGCAGAAAGTGGGTATACCGTGAGGAGGCTAAAGATGCACATTGCAAAAAACACGGCAACGCATAGAGATTATACCAGCCACGGGGGAATCCGAGAAGCCAGCGCGGGGAGATAGGCCCCCAGTGGGGCCCCCATCGCGGGTGCAGAGGACCCTTAGTTCCCGGCGAATGCAGAATTGACTCCGGCATCCCCCCACGATAGCAACGTAAGCACGGGGGCCCCCAGAACTGCAAACAGACACTGCGGTAGCACCTGCGCAAGCAGCGACGGAACATAGAGCCCATGCATATAAGGGGGCCCCCATTGGTCAGCTGGGGGCGCAGACACAACACTTGTGTTTCCAGGGGCCCCTGAGGGGGCCTCTGCGGACGCCCTCCCAGGGGGTTCTCCCCCTATACCTGCTGGGGCATGGTACTGCTGGCTGCATATTGCCTCACGGAGGGGAGGCATCCAAAGGGGTGATCACCGGCAGCAGCGCAAGGATCCGGCCTCCCCAGAGAAGCAGGCAGTCCGAAGCAGCGCTGCATGGAGCACCTTCCGCCTGCGGGCTTTCCTTCGGATGGGGGGCCCTCCACACCGAAGGGGGCCCCCCCCTATTTTCGCACTGCCGTCGCGGTGGCTGCTACGCGGGGAGCCTGCACGGGGCGGCAGTACGGCAGCCTGCGAGCTCGCCAGCAAGTTTTTGTGCGAAGCATTTGACTGAAGAGGATGAGTCCTGCGTTCTCCTGCAGGAGGAGTTGTGGCATCAGGAGCTTCCGCCGCTGCTGCACTCGGCGTGCTCTTCCCTTCTTGGAGGGGCGACTGGAAAGAGGGGCTGCAGCTGCTTTCGATGGGGCCTAAGCCTCGAAGAAGCCATGATCGCGCACGAAACGTTGATTTTTACGCTGAAAGGCCTCATGGGGTTTTTCTAAGGAAGGGTGATGGCATGCAACAGGAAGAACGAGCTGATGAACCCCGAGCAGGGACGCGCCAGGGATGTACACCGTGCCTATGGTACAGGATCGGTGCATGCATCCTTCAAGGGGCCCAAGCGACAGCTGGATGCCATAGGGGACAGTAGTAGGCGCGGCGCATTGCCTGCTGCTGCAGTCTCTCCGTGTATGGCTAGATGACTGAGAGAGTGTTCAAGGGGCCGTCTAATAGTTAGACGCCAGGAGCTATTGCAGGTCCAGCGGAGGGAGACGCGGTCGGCTACGGGAGCGGACCTTCGACATATGGGGTTTGCAGAATATCCGGTAGATCCACGTTTCGAGTGTAGGGGCAGAGGAGCCCAACGAGCAACGGAAATAAGGGAGGAAATCATAAGGCCCTATTTAAGAAACACGAAAATGCATGCATTTCTACCGGTTGCTTGGACCCCAGCCAGCGCAGACGACAGGAGGGGTCTCCTAAAGGGAGGCTCCGATCGCGATCGTGTTCAACGGACCGGGTGAGAGTGGAGGTCGCGCCGTTTTGCGACAGCACCACGACAGACTGCAATAGGAATGTAAAAAACGAGAGCAAAAGGTTCGCTTCCGTCATTAAAGTGTTTTTTGGTAGTCCTTTTATGACGCTTCCACCCGACAACATTGCACGAACTTGAGGTCCGTGCACCGCAAGGCGTGAACCAGAAGGCGTTCGGCTCATGACACTGCAAGACGTAGCGGGGGCCCCCCACGCCCCCAGGCGGTCGGTCGTTCTTGGGGGCCCCTTAGGGTCCTGCACAGTACCGTCTTGTTGGCTGCCCCTTCCTTGACTCCTCGACTCCTCTGATCTAATTCTAGTTGCTTTTTGTGGTTTACTTTCATTCAGGGCCCCCTGACAAGTCATCGGGGGCCCCATTCCCGTATGTACGCGGTTGCCACCCGATGAAGAGGCGACTGGCGCGTCAGGGGCCCCCCGCCTGTTTGTTTCAGAAGACACCATTTTGGGGGCCCTAGCGGCAAACGATGTCCCACTGGTCCCCCCTCGCGGGTCGGAGGGCCTCCCCAGGATGCCTGACGGTCGAGTCGGGGGCCCTCGAGTGTAGCGACGCCACCCCGAGAGGGCCCCCCGCCTCCCGGGGGGCCCCTGGAAGCGCCGCCGCTGCGACGGCTGGCAGGACTTGGTCCCGTCCTGGCTTTCTGGTTAAGCGTCTGAAGACTGAGCAGGCAGACGGTGGAGAGGCTTTGGGGGCCCCCCCAGAGGTGGCAGAGGGGGCTGCTGTCTTGGGGGAACCTAGGACCAAGCCGCTTCATCCTGGACGTACTGAAACCGTTGATTTGACCGTGAGCTCGGGCAGCTCTGAGTCGGAGGGTTCCTCAGGAAGACGCGCTGCTGCATCTAGGGCGGGGATGCCTGCAAAGGGCCCCAGCGTCGCTTCTGAAGAAAGAAGTGAGAGGCGTTGGAATCCAGCGTTTCCAGGGGCCTCCCTGGCTCCTAGAAAAGCTGTGGGAGGAAACATGCCGCGTAAAAGGGGCCCTCGGCTCTGTAGGAGATCCTGCAGCGCAAACTCTTGCGGGAACTCGGAGGAGGAGCTCTCCTCCGCAGACGATGCATCAAAGGGCAAGGGTAAGCCCAAAAGCGTGATCCCTCCTCCATCTAAGAGAGCACCACTCCGCATGGGTGGCAGATGCAGAAGATCGCCGGAGCAGGACGGTGGTATGTCTGAAGCGGTGTCGGGATCTACTGAAAAGGAGGGAAAGGGGGAACGCAGGACAGACGCGCTGGGCCCCCCCTCCTGCGATCCAGACAATGTTTCTGTGCTTTCGACAGCCTCTTTATTAGACAAAGAGGACTCGCCTCCAGCCCGCCAACAAGCGCACGTGCGGGAGTCACAGAGTTCCCTCGAGAGTCGCGAGGGGGTCGCTGCAGCAGGCGGGTTGTTGCCTTCAGCAACGCCGCTGAAAGCTGCAGAGGCTGCTGCTCATGCTACGGGTGAAGCGACCTCGGGAGGCTTCCCAGAAAGGCCTCTTTTGGAGACGTCTGATGAGGAAGACGGCTCAGATTGTGTTGTTGTTGTTGACGACGCGAGCCAGATCGGGTGCCCCTTGTGGGCCCCTTCGCAGCGAAGCCTTCGGGGGTCGGCACGGATTTCTGAGACTCCAAGGCGCCGTAAGGCTGACAGAGTTCGGGGCCTCTTGGAGGCCCCTATGTCGTCTTCTCCAACGTTAAGGAGGCATATGGATCCCTTTTTTGGGAGTGCAGGCAAAATCGCGCGGGTAGTTCTAAGAGACTTCTGCAACCATGAGCATCTGGACTGGAGGCCGTCGCCGTATGTTAACCTTATCCTCGGTATGCATGCACTTGCAGTCAGGGTAGGGGCTCCTTGGAGCCATAACACAGAGTTCTGAGAGGCCCCTGAGAAGGGGGGGGAAGGGGCCCTCCCTCCTCTCGTTGACACAGGGAAACTGCCAAGAACTCCTTCTGCCAACATCTCTTCTGACCCCCTTGCAATAGAGTACCCCTTCTAACACCCCTTGCAATAGAGTACCCCTTCTAACACCCCTTGCAATAGAGTACCCCTTCTAACACCTCTTGCAATAGAGTACCCCTTCTAACACCCCTTGCAATAGAGTACCCCTTCCAACACCTCTTGCAATAGAGTACCCCTTCTAACACCCCTTGCAATAATATACCCCTTACCCTGCAGTAAAACATTCCACACGGAGACGCTTCCGTCAGTGTACAGGCCTAACCAGCAAGGCCGGCACAACACAATGCATTGGGATATATCTACCAAGCGAGCGAGAAGGGGGCACCTTTCAGTTTTTGTAGAGTCTTTTCCTGTCTGTACCCTTGCGGCCGGCGGCTCTGCTGTGGAGAGGGGTGGGCAAGATGCTCGCTCCTGAGGCACCTTGACGGGGGCGAAGGGGGGAACTGTCTGCTGGGGGAAAAGGTGTGACGCGAGCTAAGCAAGGGGCCCCCGCGTTTTGTGTTATTCTGCAGGCGGAAACGGCCAGGGGAAGTCTGCCATTGCAAAGGCTATTTTTGTGTGCTGTGGAGCAGAGAGAGCTCACACGAGGGAGCGGGGGTGTTCCAGTCTCGAGGGTGGCCTGCAAGGGGGGGGCCCCTCGCAGAGGGGCCCCCATGCGGGGTCTACAGCGGGCCTTGTCCGTGCCGCGGAAAAGCCTCGTCTCTTTGAATACATCAGGGAGTACTGGAGCGAGGCGGGGCCCCCGAAGACGGTGATTTCCATCACCTTCTCCAACTTTTCTTCGGCGGAGGCCTCCCTAGGGGGCCCCTATTCGCCTCCCAAGGAGGGATCGTCCGCGGGAGCCCCTCCGGGGGGCCCCCCCCCTGGGGTCCAGAGCGTCGTAAAGGAGGAGGGGGAGGGCCTTGTGAGCCGCGTGTCTCGCCTCACGGGGGACGCCTTCCTCCCCGTGGATAGGGCATACTGCCACGGCGCATATGGCGACTACATTACGCTAACTCGGGAGATCACGAAAAAGCGGTGCAGCCGCAAGCAGCTCAAGCAACGCGCGGGGCAGGAGGCGGAGGAAGAGGAAGAGGCCCTGTGGGCGACTGGCAGCAGTACATGGTACATTGCAGGTTGTGGATCGCTTGGAAGCTCTCGCAGGGAGGTGAAACACACGGAGGTGAGGGCCCTTCTGACGCACTTCGGCCTGGAACTGACAAATCCTGCTGTATATCTGTCTCAAGAGCTTGCCAAGACCTTTCTCTTTAGGGCTTCAGAGCAGTCGCTCTACAGGTTCTACCTGTGCGCGAGTGGTGAGACATGCGGCTCGTGATCCTTTGGCTCTTACTGCTGGTGCTGCTGCTTTTGTTGCTTTGCTGCTTTGTTTAGCGTTCCTTTTATCTTTGCTCGGCGCTGCTTGCTGGGGGCGGCTTTCGCGGTGTCTTTGCATGTGCCGTTGAAATAGTTGTGGGGAGATTACCAGGGCACTGTCAGCAGCTGCTGCCGAACAAAACGTAGAGCATGCGTTATTCTGGAGAGGCGTTGATGCTGCTGCAGGGCTGGGAACGGCGCTGAGCAGCATGCGGGAGGCGGCAGAAAGGCATCAGATCGCACTCAAGGAGCTAAAGGCCTTCGATAATCGTCTTTCTCCCGCCAGAGCTGCAAAGGCCAAACTCATGGAGGAGCTCGAACAGTGCAAACAGGTGTGCAGCAACCAAACACCTAAGCGCGGCTTGTCGAATCGCATCCTAGCAGCAGCTAGCCAGCGCACTAGAGGCAGCTAGCCGGAGCTGGCTCGCGCATGTGCGCAAAGAGGCACACGCAGAAGGTTCTAGCCGCGAGGCAGCGATACAGGAACAGACGCAAGTAGTAGGGAGAGCGGGTTTGAAAAAGGAGAAGACGCCTGTTGCTGGTTCTGCTGCTGGTTTGTTCGTTGTAGCTGCGCTGCCTCAAGGAGGAGGTCGTCTTACTGAGGGAGGCCCTTACACATTTGAGAGCTGCAGAGGCAGCGGGGGCAGCAGATGCTGTTGCTTCCGAAGTTGCCGAGCTGGAGAGACACCTAGAACTGCACCAAAGCGAGGCTGCCGCAGGGGCTGCATCAGCCGTTGCAGAAAAGCAGCGGCAGACGGTGGACAGCTGCAAAGTAACTCTACAACAGCGGCAACAGCGGCTGCGAGAGCTGCAGGAGAGGGAGCAGGAGCACAAGCAGCAGCTGATTGCTGCTTCTAGACAACTGCGGATTCGAAAAGGGGAAGTCACGAAGCTCAGACAGGATCTAGAGGCCTCCAAGGAGATGCACAAGGCTCTCAAAGAAGTTATCCACAGCATGCAGGGAGTATGTCTAGCACTTGCGAACAGCGAATTCGGCAAAGGCAGCGGCAGTTGCAGTTCATGGGAAACCGATTGTGCCGCTTTAGGAGTCAATCTTGCGTCTATGTTTGGCGCGGAGTATCTTTTTTGGCCCCCTGCTGCTGTTTTGTGTTTTGCATGCGGTCCTCCCCTGTGCTGTGTGCAGCTACGTTTTTCTGCGGCCTCTTTTTTCTCTCTTTCTCTATACCGCTGCTTGCTTTGCCTTGCGTATGCTGACCGTTGCTTTCTCCTAGCTGTGAGTACCGCTCACTTTCGGACGGAGGTCAGGGCTGTGTGTTGCCTTGCTGCGTCTCTGCAGACGCTGCAGAAGAGCACCGCTTCGTCAGGTGCTGAGGAGGCAGCTCAGCTAGCAGAGCGAGAGGCGGCTTTGGATGCGGCAGCAGCAGCTTTTGCTACAGCAGAAGAAGCGCTGCATCGGCTGCAGCGGGCTTCTGCAGCGGCGCAGCAAGCGGCCAAGAAGGCGCGGGGTGTTTCCACGGATGCCGAATTGCGACTTCAAGCAGCACAGCATCTCGCAAGGCAGACGGCCTTTGAGCAGCAGCAGCAGCAGAAGCTGATACAGCGGCTGGAGCAGCAGCACACGCAGCGAAGGCAGGAGGCTCTCAGAAACTCCCTGGCGCGTCAACAGCAGCAGCAGCAGGCAGCAGCAGCCGCAGCAGCCGCAGCAGCCGCAGCAGCCGCTGCTGCACGGGAGAAGCACGTCAAGGCGGGACTGCTTCAGCAGGCAGAGCTGCGTCTCGCTCAGCAGCGTCGAAAGGATGCTGCGCAGAGGGCATGTCTGTACTTTAATCCTCGCTGGAAGGGGCCCCCACCGGATTTAGTTGGCTTGCTGGACTCCGTGGAGGCCCTTCTGTCTCAGCGCCGCTTTTCACAGGCCCCCTTGGGGCCCCTAGGGGAGTTTCTCCACGTTGACGAGGAGGCATGCAAGGCTGCAGGGGTGCCTCCAGATGCAGCGCAGGCAGTGTTGGAGGAGCACATGAGTCAACACTTCGCCACGTGGCTTGTTGGCTCAATAGAAGAGCAGCGCTTGCTACAGCCGCTTCTACAGAGACACCTTTGGCCTCCTCGCGTGGCTGTTGTGAACTTCAACTGCCCCCCGTACGCTCCACGCCTGACGGACGAGGCACTCGGCCTCCCCAAGGGAGTACTCACGCTTTACAAGGCCCTCAAAAAAAGAGAGACACAGGGGGACAGAGAAGACAGAGGCGAGGCTTTTTTCGAGGCAGCCATGCCAAGGGTAAGTCACGCCCTCCGAGAAATGTGTGTGCTTTCGCGTTTGTATGGCCTCGTTTGTCTGTTTTAGAGCATATATCTAGCGTTTGTATGGGCTTGTTTGTCTGTTTTAGAGCATATATCTAGCGTTTGTATGGGCTTGTTTGTCTGTTTTAGAGCATATGTCTCGCGTTTGTATGGCCTTGTTTGTCTGTTCTAGAGCATATATCTAGCGTTTGTATGGGCTTGTTTGTCTGTCTTGGAGCGTATATCTCGCGTTTGTATGGGCTTGTTTGTCTAGAAGCAGGGGGTGCTGAGTGGGGTCGGTAAACGCTCTTGATGACTTCCGAGGGGAATAAATCCCCCCGCCCCCCCGCTGTTGCCTCTCCTCGACACAGTCAGCTGTGCTGCTTCTGCCTCATCGTCTCTACTGCCGTGTGCAGGACGACTACTGCTGTGTCTGTCAGGCTGGAGTTCATTTTTTGGTGGACGTTGCTTCTATTGAGCGCGTGGCGATTGCTGAGGATGGACGACACCTTCGAGGGCTCCTCCAAGGGCCCCTGCCTCAAGCAGGGGGCCCCTGGGGGCCCCAGGGGCCCCAGGGGCCCCCGGGTCCTGTAAGGGGCCTTCGCGAGGGTTACGCTTGGCGTGAGGCCCTCCACCTCAAGAGGCAAGGGAGGGGCACAGAGGGGGTTCCCTGTGCGCATGGGCATGCCCGTAAGGCTCGAGGCGTTGTCAGAGTCTGCTCAGTCTCTGGCAGCAGCCCTCCTCCTGCATCTTCGGAGGCGGCAGAAGCTGCGACTGCGCCTGCGCTCGTTCCAAAGTCTCGCACAGCCGCTGATAAGGACGCGCAGGCTGCACTGGAGGAGGAGCTGTCTCGGGAGTGGGATTTCGAGGCATCGGTGTTGCAGAAGAAGAGGGAGGCCGATGCTGCAGCAAGGAGGCAACTCGAGGAAGCCACGGCTGCTTGCGCGGCTGGAAGAGAGGCGCAAACAGCGGCTGCCGATGAATTGAGGGTGAGGGCAGAATTAACGATGGATGAAGGCCTTTAGGAGCACTCGCAGCAGCATCACTTCCGCAGAGTGCCTCTAGATGAAAAAAAATCACACCCCATGTGTTGCCTCTCAATGCAGCAAAGCATATATGTCTTCTTTCCGTCTGCCACGTTCTCTGTTATCCCTGCCTGCTGTCGCTGGCACCTCCTCTCCCTCCCTCTGTCGCAGTCTGCGTGGCTATCGCCCCCCTTCTTCTTCTTTCTCATGCGCGCTCGTTGGCCCTTGTGCTTTGCTCGTGTATCTGTATATGTATATATATATTTATGTATGTGTATGTATATATATGTGTATGTATATATATGTGTATGTATATGTGTGTATGTTTGTAAATATATAAATATATATATATGTATATATATGTGTATGTATGGGTCTTCATGTGTGCCACTGTGCTGGGCTAAAACAGTCCTTGCTTGTCTGTGTTTCTGCGTGTGTTTCTGTGTGTGTATTTGTGTGGTTGCCGCATTGTTGCTTGATCTTGGCATCCCTCTCGTCGCCCTGCCTTCTAATGAGGCATGTGATCGCGTCAGTGGGGGAACCTCCCTCTTGTGTGTGTGTCTGTGTGTCTGTGTTTGTGTATGTCTGTGTGTGTGTATGCCTATGTCTGTGTGTGTGTATGCCTATGTGTGTGTCTGTGTGTGTCTGTGTGTTTGTCTGTGTGCCTGTCAGTCATGCCTCTGGTTGGTTGGTGTGATCTCGCCGATGTCTCGCGTTGTGGGGTGTGTTTATTGTCTCGTTCGTAGGCACACAGATTCGAAGTCTCTTTCAGGATAGCTGTTCATGCGTGTTTTTGAGTGTCTGTGTTGCTGTACAGCGCTGTGAAGAGGCAGAGGGGCGTCAACAGGTGGCAGTACAGCTGGCGATGGATGTGCGAGACGAGGCCCGCATGGCGCTCGCTGAATTCCGAAGCAAGCATAGTAGATTTTTTCAACAGGTCTGCTGACGCTGTAAAAATATATATATATATATATATATATACATACATATATATATATATGTTTGTGTGTGTCTACGTGTGTTTGGTAGTTGGGTTGACTATGGGGTGAGAATGTTTGCGCAAAGAATTTTCTCTGTCCGCGGCTCCAGCGTAGTGTTTTGAGGGGTTTCCGTCGGCGTTTGCTTTTCAGGAGCAGCTGAGAGGACTGCGGGAGAAGCTGGAGGCGAAGGAACGTGAGAGTGCTGCCGAGGAGAGACACAAAGTGGCTTTGCAGGAACGGATCGAGGATGCGGTTGGGACTGTTGCTCGCGCGCAGGAGGCGGTGGAAAGCCTTCAGAGAGGATTAAAAGAGAGGCAGCAGCAAGTGGAGGAGGCTGTAGCGGTCAGTTGCGGGTTGATACGTTGCGCATGCACGTGACGACACACGCAACAGCACGCCACATGGGCGTCTTCCTGCTGCTTTTCTTTGCCGTTCTGTTGTTCTTTCGAGATCGGCGTGGATGGCTGCGGGCTTAGGCGAAGGCGTGCTGTAGACAAGTCGCGTTTCTGTGCTTGCTTCCTCCTCAGGCAGTGGAGAGTGCGGCCTTTCTGCTGAGAAAGGCGGAGGCAGAGGTAGAGAGGCTGAGGGAAGCAGAAACAGCTGCAGCCGCGATGGCTGCGGCACGAATCGAGGAGCTCAAGAAGAAGAGAGTCCATTTAGAAAACCTCCGCGCAGAGGCAGAGGTCAGGCAGGCAGCACAGAAAGCAGCGTTGGCATCTGCATAGGCAGCCGTCCATGTGTGGCACACACACACACACACACACAGACACACACATACATCGATCTACCTACCTGTTTCTTCCGAAATTTCCTGTGTGTATGCATGGCTGACAATGCGCTAGTCCTCCTTCTGCGCCTTGCCTAAGGCTCATGCGAGTCTGTTGTGTCTTTTATTACCCTCTTTCGCATCCAAACAGAGCAGAGAGCGCTAGGCTCAGCGGCATCCAGAAGTCGAAAAACAGCGCCTCTCCTTGGATATGTCTGCCAATAATAGCACAAAACGGCACTTCTCTCTCTGTGTTTCGACCCCTTCTCAGCACCTGAAGAGCGAATGCAAGTCTCTGCTGCCAGAAGGCACCGAGCAACTGCAGCTCTCTGCAGCGGTAAGCCGCTGCTCCTCCGTGAACGAACGCCTAGCCTTTTCCCCTTTTCTTGGCTAGCTGTCCACCCTCAAGTCAGCAGCTTAACGAAACAAGAAGGGCCTTGCACACTGTGGTGTATGCGCTGCACTTTGTGCGCTTATCTGCATCGGCCGGCTGCAGGAGGCGGAAAGGCGTCTTAAGTCGCTGGAACTGCGTGTGCGAACGCTCGAGGCGGAAGTTCGAGATGAAGCGGTAATTATCCACCTTTTAATTTCCTGAACGCATTGTTGGGCGTCGTCGCTTGCATGCTGCCGTTTTCATTTACGGGGTTTTGAAGCTGGCAGCAGGAATAGCAGACAACAGACTAAAAATACACGCAGCGAAAAAGGCCCTATTGAATATATATACATATGTATGTAAATATATGTAGGTATATATATATGTATGTACATATATGTATGTATATATTGATATGTATGTATATATATGTATATATATATATATGTATGTAAATATATGTATGTATACATGTACTTACGCGAGAGAGACGCAGTCTCTACTACCTCGCTAAAAGGCCTCCTTCATGTACGTTGTTTTCGTCTGTTTTCGGTGTATGCAATGCCCACCGTTTCTCTTGGGGGGGCACATTACCTCCAATGTCTGTTTTTTGTCTCTGGCAGTTTGTGTGCTTGTGCTTTCTCGTACTTTCAACTCTTTGTGTGCCTGCCCCCTGCACACGTTGCCGTGTTGCTGCGGTAGTCCCTTGGCCGTCTATACAGGCTGTCTCTTTGGAGCTCAAGGAAGCGTCTCGTTTGCTAGATGCTCAAGAGCAGCAGCTGCTAGCTCCACAGGCTGCAGCACAGCTAGCAGAGGCGAATGCTTCGAAGAGGGCACAGAAGCTCCTCCAGGCTGTGGAATTCTCTGCCAAGCAGGTGACCGCTATGATGGACGTGTGTCTCTCTCTCTTGTGTGTGTGTTGCCTGCATCTCTGGCGAGTATCGTTTTTTGACGCTGCGATTGCTCATCCTCGACTTACGCGGTGTCTTGCCCGTGCTTGCTTCAACGTTCTCCTTCTCTCTGCTTTTTTTCCCTCTATTCTCCGCCTCTCGAGCGATGGCTCCTCTCGCTTGCACTTGTCCTCATCCCTCTCCTGCTCGGCACGTGTGCGGCTCCGCGTCCTTCGCTGTGATTTTTTTCCAAAAAGCTGATCTTTTAAGCCTGACGTGCTTCCTTTTGCCTTCCTTATGCCAGCTCCCGCCTCATGCAGAGAGTCAAGATCTCCGTTTTCCTCTCTCTTTCCCTTGGGTGCTATTTTGCCGTCTTGAGCGCGCTGGCTGACCAGCAAAGCGATGATGCAGGAAGCAAGAAGACAACAGGGAGGCTGGCGGTGCCTGCTGCATCCCTTCCTTTTGCTTGTGCATGCATGCTTGCATGCAGACGCGTGAGGATTTCTGCCGTGTGGTGGAGGGCGTGTTGCCACACAGTGCGAGCCTCGTCTTTGATCACTCGACCCAACGCTTGCTGATTCAAACGAAAGACAGAAATCAGCAACACGTTTCAAGCCACCCGAAGGCCCTTTCCGGGGGAGAGAAAAGTTGCATTCAGGTTGCCTTCCTTGCAGCGCTTGCACGCCGCAGCAATTCTCCCGCGCACATCTTCGATGAGGTAGACGTCTTCATGGATGAAAGAAGCCGAATTAAAAAGTAACATGCCACTGAGGCGACTAGCGCGCGAGCACATCCTTAGCGAGTTCTTGTAAAGAAAGGGACTGCTTTGACTCCATCGAACCCCCACGATGGCGGCTGAGGCTACACACGCCTGGCCTACCTTACATAGAGTACCCTTGCCTCTGGTGGAGAGAAAGGGCTTTGTTGCTGCTTTAAAGAGGACGGAGAAGCATGCGGCGAGATCCTCGGCACTGTCGAGGCTAGCCACAGCACACAGGCCGGCGAATAGAAGGTGCTGGTAGAAAAACGGCGTGTGAGAGGCCTTTCAAGCCTCTGGGCTTCCATCCACCTGTGTTTGTTTGTGTGTGTGTTTGTGTATGTGTTTGTGTGTTTTTTTGTGTGTTTGTGTGTGTGTATGTATGCGTATGCGCTGCCCCTGCCTTCCTCCCCGCAGTTTCAACCTCCTGTTGGATGTGGCTCTCCAGATGCGGCAGTCCACGCAGTGTTTCTTCATTACGCCTCACTGGGAGATACAGCGCGAGGTGCAAAGTAAGCTGGCAGGAACCGTGCGAACTGTTGCGGCGCTAGATGCCTTAAGGCATGGCCCTCCCTGCCGTCGAAGGCCAGAGCTTAATAGGCTGAAAAGGGAGGAAAGCTGCACATTGCAGCAGCAATGACTCATGTGCAAAACGCTGCACCTGTAGGGAGGGGCACAGTGTCACACGCGCTGGGAGGCGAGTCGCGTTGCTTGGGTAGCATGCGTTTCCTGCAGGCCGATACACTTCAGATCTTGTCAAAGTCTTCAATATTCGCGGTAGCATCTCTCTCTCCCTTGACACTCCTGCACCCTGAAGGAGAAAGTGCTGACAGAGAGTGTGCCACAACCGATAAAACTGCTTTCGTCGCAGTCTGCCGACTCCTCAGCCTTCGCGCGGTTTCGAAAGGGTCTGAGTTCCCCTCTAGGCGCTTCCTTCTCTGCTTTTTGCCGCTGGCTGATAGCTAAGCATCAAGCAGAGCAAGGCGCATAGATAGGGAGCCAAGGAGGTGGAGGGGGGAGGAAAGGGGGGGGAAGGGTGGTGCTAACGGGAGAGCTAGCTAAGCCTGTGCAAGCTAGCGCTCCGCGTGGGATTTCAGTCCTCGTCGTGGGAGTTGCTATTTGTTTCTGCTCAACGTCATTCGACGGTGAGGCCGTACAAAGCGGTATGTGCAGTGGGAAAACAGCTAGGAGCTCCTAGTCTACAGAGTTTTTAGGCTTCTCGAGCGCTGTTGCTGCTTGCGCGTTCCTACCGAACCTTTGGCTGTTTCTTCAGCAGTGAGTCACCAAGCTCTCCCCTTCCCTCTCCTCCCCCCTCCACCCCACAGCCACTTAGACTCCAGGCCCTTTAGCATCACACTAGTATCTGACCCCGCGCGCTTCTACACTTTCCGTGCAACCCGTTTGCATGCGCCGCAAGAGAACTAAAAGACGCTGCATGTAGCCCCAACTGCATGCATATGCAGAGAGAGACTAGCTAGTACACATTGGTAACCGAGTCACAATTAAATTCCCCTCCACGCCTCTTTACGCCACCACTGCCGCCCTTTGGTGAAGCCCAGGCCACGACGCGCGTCTACCCAAGGATAGGAGAGCATTCAGCCTTATATTTGTCGCAAGTTTCTCTCACCTCGAAGTGCTTTTAGAGCCCTTTTGCGCTCACGTATTAGTGCTACGCAATCCTACCTTCTTCGAGACCTCACTATTCAGTAAAACTCGCGCTGCACCTGAGACTCCCCTTCGGACTGCCCGGCCGACTGCCTAGCTAGAGGGGTTGCTTCTTCCCATGTCGCTCCTCCCTACGTAGCTTTCACGCCTTCAAGAAACACAAGGCTGTCCGCTCACTTCGCTAGTCGTGCGGAGCGAACCTTCCACCTGGACGGAGAGACACGTGCCCGTTTCTGGAGGGCTCAGGTGAGTAGCTCTCAGGGCTGAGTCTCCGGCGAAGATTCTAGCGGTTTCGAAGGCTGCTCGCAGAGAGTTTGATGCCCGCTTTTGTTTCTCTTCAAGGCTACAGGACTATCGAAGGAAGATTCGCGTGAGCGTGCGGGGGCCTGAACAAAGCGTTGCTTTTTTCGGTCTGAAAGGCCGTTATGCAGGGCGAGGCAGAAGCGGGAAACAGCAGGGTTTGGAAAGGAAACGTTGCTATTGCCCCTGGAAATTATTAGGCAAACACGATGGTTTATACAGAAGGTCAGTGATAGGTGCGTTGTACACGGCAAGTTCAGCAGCCAGATTAAGGAAGCTATTCAACAGATGCCTTCGCAGAGGGGTGGTTAAGCTGTCGCTGTCTGCTCCTCTGCGGGCTTCAGTGCCCTCTGCACAATTTCGAGAGTATCAGGAGACAGCCCGGGGGCCTCTTTGATCCTCCGCAGCTGCTTTTTCATCAGCTCCTGGCGATCCGTATCGAAGCGCTGCCATTGCAGGAATGCGCCTGCCAAACGTGCCGCTGCCTGGGGGTTAAAGGCATCCACCTGAAAGTTGCACAGACACAAGAAGACAGCACAGAAATTGAGGATACACCGTCGGCGGCAGTAGCTGCTATTAACAAGAGAAGAACGCGTGAATACACATTTTGTTAATGGACAGATGTATAAATATATAGATATATTTATCTCGTTCTCTCTCTCTCTCTGTCGGTTGCTCGCGCTTTGCCTTACATCAAGACACACGTTAATGCGATTAATTTAAAAAGGCCTATTGCCTCCGCAGGGTCCCCGCCAGCGACACCCCCCTTCTTCGTCATACATAGAAGGAGCACACTGCCGTTCTTCTCTACCTACCTCGATAACGACGTCACTGATGAGCTTGTAACCCTTGCCGTCTGCCCTGTGGAAATGCGGCCTATTAAAGACGAAAGCACTAAAGAGGGATCTCAGCCTGTTGGGGCTCTTCGAGGTAAAGGCGCTGTGTTTTTGCAATTCAGCAACCCTCTCGACCTGGTCGTCTAGGTCTGAGCCTGCCTGTGCTCTGAACCACTTGTCCAGCATGAGCGGATTACCTGTTGAAAAACAAAGGCGAAGACAGCCACACACTCCAGGGAGAATGCGGGCAGGAAAGACATTCATTGCCTGTTCAGAGAGGCACGCGTGCAGAGGTCTTGTTGAGAAACATCGGCATCAGCAGGCAGAGAGGGCCTTTGCCAATGGCCTTTATCTCACCAGCTGCCTCTTGAAAGAATTCCTCGAGCGCCTTCTCCCTCTGCGGCTGGGGCATATCCGCTAGCGCGAGGAGTGCAGCGTACCGGTCTGTCATGCACTTGCTAGCTGTGAAGTGGTTGTAAGCTCTTGCTGCTGCCTCCTCATCTCCGGGGGCTGATAAGAGTCGGAGAACTACGTTTCGAAGTCTTCGCCTTGCAACATTGGCTGCGTCAAGGGCTTCCTCCGCGTCATCCTCGGGCAGTGTGAGCCGCTCATACAGAGCAGAGAGCTCAGACTTGAACGCAGAATACAGCTCCAAACGGGCAGTCTTGAGGGCCAGTTGCAGCGCGTCTGGATATATAGGACTCATTTCTTGAGAGAGGACTTCCCAGGAAGGCAGCTGCAGAGTCAGGGCCTGCAGACGGAGGCAGATATCCGATCACAATCACAACATGCAAGCATGCATGCATGCATAACGCAGCTTCGGCGCAGCAACAATGACCTGATACACACATATACTCCACTTGTTCGATCCAGACTGAAGCTTGCGCTCTTCTGCATCCCATGGCAGCGCCTGCACAGGCGTGAGGTGCTCGTCAACAGCAATTCAGCAAAGAGAGAGAAATATCGAGAGAGAGAAAGATCGAGAGAGACGAAGAAAGATAGAGAAATAGAGAGCGACAAGATGAACTGGATCTTAAGAAAGCTTTCACCGAGAGGACGGAAAAAAATGATTGGCGGGTGGGAAATTTTATTTCTTTGAGCCCTGGCCAGATGGGGAGGCGTGTAGAGAATGCCGACTCTCTCATCTCACCGCAAGAAGTGCAACGCGCAGCGAGAATGGAGAGAGGAGTCTGTCTGTTGCTCTTACCTTGATGGATCTATCGCACTGCTCGTCGGCAAGGGTGGTCCTAAAGGCCTCGGTGTAGATCTTGGAGAGTGGCGGCATGCCCTCTTGGGCGAGGTTGTTGCTGCTGAGGAATTTGCTGCGCTCCAGGAGGAGCTTGAAGGCGAGGGTGTTCGAGGCATCCCATCGGTTGACAGGGTCGGAGTCGAACGCCATAAGAAAGGCCGTATCTTCGTCTGTTCTGTACGGCAAGACTTTCACGGGAGCTGAAAAGTCTCTAAAGAGGGAGGGAACACACGGCTCGTTGATGTCCGTGAACTCGAAGCTCTGCTCGCGTTCCGTGAATTCCAGTACCTGCAGCACCCCGTAGGTGTATGTACACCCCAGCAAGACTTGTGGGCGCACACCAACTGGGCCTTTCTTGCCGCAGAGGCGCAGCAGCACCGTCCAAGAAAAGCTGCTAGCCACGTGCAGCTGCTAGCCGCGTGCACCTGCTAGCCGCGTGCACCTGCTAGCCACACGCCGTCCGTTCGTGACAGCCGACGGCGAACTCCATGTTTCGAAAGGGGGAACATACATACCTGAGTAGGGGGCGTGAGGAGGTCCTTCTTGCTATTTTTGCCGATAAGTCCCACCTTAATGGGAATAACCAAGGGCAATTTGCCCTTCTGGCCTGGCGTAGAAGGCGTGTGCTGCCTCAAGCGCAAGGTGTATCGACGGGCGGACGCGTCATACTGTTGCTCCAAGACTTCTACTTCCGGCGTGCCCGACTGAACACAAGCGAAAAATTCCGCGAAAACAAAAAGCGGCTGCTCAAGGCCAACAACCATGTGCCTCGCTCCCTCCCCCTGCCTCATTACCCCGTCGAAAAATATCTCCATGCCAGAGACTTGTTCCTATTTAGAGGAAACGCCCTCCTCCTCGGCGCTACGATTCTGCCCCGACGACCCCCAAAAGCCTATAATCCCGCTTTTTTCCACGAAAAAACCTCCAAAGAAAACCTTTTAAAAACGTCTTGCCTGTACCTACCTGGGAGTACCATCGCTCGAACTGCGAAAAGTCACGGCCGTTCGCGTCTGCCATGGCTGCTCTAAAATCATCGCATGTCACCGCCTGACCATCGTGACGCTTGAAGTAAAGGTCCATGCCCTTTCGGAAACCTTCGGGGCCTAGCAGTGTGTGCAGCCTGCGAAATAAGTCGCTCCGACGCAGGGGAAAAAAGCGTCTTGAACGGTCTGTACCGCCGCAGAAGCAAAAACAAGGCCTGCAGAGGCGTAGCACGAAGCCCCTCTAGCACCCATAAATTCCCAGCAGAAGAAGACACTCAAAGCCACAACGCGAACAATACGATATACGCACATGCGAATCACTTCTGCGCCTTTCTCATACACCGTAAAGGTGTAAAAGTTGTCCATAGCAATGTACGTCTCGGGCCGGATAGGATGACTCATCGGACCGCTATCCTCGGGAAACTGATGTGCTCGCAAAAACGTCACATCTTCAATCCTCTTCACAGCCGCCGAACACATGTCCGCAGAAAACAGCTGATCCCGAAACACCGTCAGCCCCTCTTTCAATGTCAACTGGAACCAGTCCCTGCAAAAAAACCATCCGCCAGCATGCCAGACACGTGTTGACGCGCTCTAGGCTTATCAATACATATCTAGGTATGCATTCATGTAATATAGGTATAGGTATATACAAGTACTCGCTCTCTCTATATTTGAATACATACAAATACATTCGCACGTGCATTGATGTTGCATACACATATGCTTGCAGACATATATATATATATATACATACAGGTGCCAGTATTTGTACAGTATGCATAGAATACATGCATACACACACATCTCCGTTGCACATGAATTGGGCTGTCCACCTCGATATACAGCGAGATGCTGCAAGTATGTATTACTATTTCGAGGGCATAAATGACCTGTTTCTGATTCTCAGCTTAAGTATATCTATCGATACACAATTAACTGTGTGACACACAGTACACCCCATAGCGAAAAAGCCTCGTGAGAGAAACGCCCCCCAAAAACCCCAACGCTCGAAGAGGAGGAGAACCCCCCCTTTTCGCTGCCCCCACCCATACGCAGCAGCATACGCCACTCTTCAGAATTACGCAGTGCATTCCTGTGTCAGGAAGGAAGGAAGCAGAAAACTGCAGACAAGAGGTGAGGTAGGTGGGTGGGAAGAGAGTGGGGAGGCAGGGGGCCTCTGCTGCTGCCTGCCGTCGACGATGACAGCTCTAAAAAGGTTCTAAGCAGTGGGGTGGTACCTGCAGGTTACCCTGTTGCCCGTCCAGTTGTGGAAGTATTCGTGTCCTACAACTCCCAGAATTCTCTCGTATTCGGCATCTGAGACGCATCCCCGTGAAACTCAACGTAGAAAGGTCAGTTCTGCGAGTTTGTTGTTGCTACTTTTGGCTGTTAGAAAGCACCCGTAAGAGGGGGATCTCGCGCTGTGTGCATGTATGTATGTGTAGGTATATATACATATATGTGTGTGTGTGGATATAGGGTCATCTACGCTCTGCAGTGTCGACACTTGAGCACATGGATGGATCGAGCGGCCCCTCTACGTTAAGGATTTGCACTAAAGTGCTCGTCGATTGCTTGCGGCGTGCTGCTCCTCTCTCTTTCTCTTTTCTTTGCGAGGCATGTACGGCGTTCGGCTATGTCTACCTAAACAGCGGGGGTGTTTACCGGTGGTAGTTTTGCGGTCTGCCAGCAACAGCGAGGAGTTGAAGATGTTGAGGCCCTTGTTCTCCATTGCCCCCATATTGAAGTCTCTAACGCAAACAACCGAAAAGACATCCAAATCGTACTCCAATCCAAAAACCTTTTCATCCCAAGCCATGCTTTTCTTCACGGACTCCAGCGCGAAGAGAAGCTTTTCCGTCTGCCCCCCCTCGCTGTACACCTCGATGCGCACGTCTTTCCCACTCTGCAAACGCAAGCACAGCAGGGCAGCGGCATAAATCCCGCAGATTTGCAGTGGGAGAGACGACTGACTGCAGAAAAAAAAACCGCCTGCAAGCTCGCGGTCCTGTGTGTGTGTGTGTGTGTGTGTGTGTGTGTGGGTGTGTGTGTGTGTGTGTGAGTGTGTGTGTGTGTGTGAGATCGGAAGAGCACAAGTGAGAACTCCAGTCACAAGAGGAGTGCGTATGCCGTCTTCTGTTTGCAAAAAAAAATCATTTGTCATGTCTTATTCGTCCATGCTACACCGTATACGCAGGATGT